CGCCGCAAGTCCAGCGCCCAGCACCGAGCGCTCGGCCATGCCATTCGACAGGAGCAGCGGCAAATCAGAAGTGGCCCCGCCGACGACGCCCGCCCTAAGCCCGCTCGCGGCTGGATGCGCCCCTTCGTCCGGCGCTCGGGTTCCGGCCGAGCGAGTGGCAGGTTAGTCGGGCACGCTTTCTCGCGGTCAACCGGGCGACACATGGCGCGCGACGCCGCCGCCGACAGGCCAGCCGCGTCAGGAGGCTGACGCGGCGTGGACGGAGGCGCGGTCAGCTGCTCCACATCCACAGTCCACACGGGCGGCGGGGCGCCACGCCGGACGCGGCGCGGCGCGCAGGCGCAGCCGGGCTGAGGTCGTCAGGCGCGGCAGGCGCAGCCGGGCTGAGGTCGGCGCAAGCCCAGCGCCGCGGCCCGTTTTCAGGGTGCGATTACGTTGGTCAGCAGCCGGTGGCGTATTCACCGGTCCCGGGTGGCCTCATTGGCCTGGAAATAGCCGATCCGTAGGGTGCGCGGAGCTGAGCTGCAGATGACGAGGCCGCCCCCTCCTCCTGGCGGTGGTGAGGATGTCGCCCTGCTGGCCACCCACGTCCCGGCAGCAGCAGACAGGCAGACATCGTGGCGGTGGTGAGGATGTCGCCCTGCTGGCCACCCACGTCCCGGCAGCAGCAGACAGGCAGACATCGTGGCGGCGGCTTCCGACGCAGGCGTGCGTTGGCACTGCCCACCGTCCTTCCCTAGACCGCCCTCCGGCCCGACCTGACCCGCTCCAGCCTGTCTGACGGGTGGGCCGGGCGGAGCGAGCTCCGGCCGCCGTGGAGGTCGGAGGTAGACACAGAGCAGGTCACGAACGCTGGTCCGCTGGCCGGCGACTTCGATTTCGGCGGCCTGATGGACCGCGTCCCCCAGGGACTCGTCGATGGAGATGACGGTCTCTGAGACAGCGGTCCAACGCCTCCAGGCGGTGGTAGGCTGAGGTCGTCAGGCGCGGCAGGCCCAGCCAGGCTGAGCTCGGCGGAACCCAGCGCCGCCGCCCGCTTTCAGGGCGTGATTACGTTGGTCAGCGTCGGCGGCGCGGTCGCCGGTACCGAGTCGCCTCGCTGCCTTGGGAACGGCCGATTGGGCAAACGCGGCGGCCAAGGCTACCGCCGACTGGAACAGCCGCCGGAGAACGCAACCGCTCAAAGCTCCGCTCCAGCTCCACTGGACCAATGCAGGCGGACCGCGTGAGGACACGTCTCAACTAGTGACGTCATAGAAATCCCTAGTGAAGACTCCTTTCGCTGTCAAGCGTGACCTGGCGCTTGCAGGCTGGAGCAGGCCGAGCCCTGCACTAATGAAAGGTATCGTCATTGCCATCACAGCGCCACCGCAACATAAACCACAGTGCAATTATGGAAATATGTTCGCAATTTCATTCCTAAAACCAAAGATGAGTTTGGTTTGATATCGATGCAGTCCGCTAATACGCGACACTTCCCAAAACATACCCACCGAAACGACGCGCGAAGAAAGCCTCCATGCGAAAAGTAACGAGAACGGAGCACGCATGGTTACGCATCACGCCTAACAACCAGCTTATCCTTGACGGCACTATAACGCGAAGTAATCATCTCATTTACCGAAGTCACCGCATCCGTTCAAAGCAAGTGCACCACCGGCGACCCTAGCTCCGTGCTCAGGCCTCTAATATCGAGTCACGGCGGCCGCCGGGTGGCCGGTCGTCGGGTCTAACCACCCCGTCCCCCTCCCCTCGCCCCTCCCCCCGGCGCCACGGCGATAGCAGGGCAGTCCGATCACCGACGCCGCGCCTGGCCGCCACCGCCGGCCAGCGTTCCGGCCTTGGCGCCGCGGCCGGCCGGCGCACAACAAGGGGGACCTCTGACGCACCCCGGACGCACCCAGGGCGCACCCAGGGCGCACCCTGCCCGAGCAGAGGTCACCGAGGCACACTCTGGGGACGCAGGATGTAGCCCCTGGAGATGAGCCAGCTGGGGCTCCTCAGCGGCCGCCGCCGTCCTCAGCCGTCGGCCGTCGGCAGTCAGCAGCGGCAACGCATCGAGCCGCGCGCCCAGCGCCTGAGACGACTCGTGTTGCGATGTACGCTATTGTTCTGCATAAAAGGGCTGTTCTTAGCTCTTACACGACAATACCATGCCTTGCCAGCCATCAGTGCCGAATCTTTTCCATAGTGAAGAGGTCGTTTGGTTTGTTCAGAAGAAGCAATGCCGTGTTTTTGTCAGAATCCAAATCGGATGTACCGTGAAAAAATTAACGGTAACGCTTCTCAATGGAAGCACATCTGGAAACCGCAGTTGCCACAGACGCCATTTGGCAAGTGCTAAATTGGGGACTTGAACGGCATGCCAAACAGATCCCGTGATGTCGGATGCTGTGCTGGGGACTGTCAATGCATCGCCACATTTGCATTGCATCGCCACATTCCGTCGCGTGCACTCAGCTCAGCTAACGAGCTCGTGTAACAGATAGCAGCACGGCTCAGCAGCCGGACGGCCGGCTTGGCCCCCGCCGCCGCCGGGGTGACCTTGCGGTTCCCCGGGAGAGCAGCGCGCGGGTCAAAGGCCAGCAGACGCCTGGGGCGCTGTGACGCACGATCGGGGACAGCGATGCGGAAAACAACGGTGCCGCACGTCCGAGGCAAATTCAGGACGGCAAATGCAGCCTGCAGACGAGGAGAAAGTGAAGACGCGGTGTCGGGTCGGGTCAGGGGGCAGGCCTCCCGCCGGAAACGACCGACGCAATGACCATTCGCGTGGCGCCATTACCGGGGTTTCGAAACCAATTCATTAATCCCAACTATTTTTCAGACGAGAGTATTCCATATTTCCCGGGTTTCACGCATGTCGTGGGGCATTTTCTCTCCGAGTCTCCCCTGAAGCGGACGCATTTGAGCTTCACACTACGCACAGCGTGCCGCATCCCACGCTCGACGTACACTGGCAGCACGCGGGGCGATGCCCCCCGTCCCCTCGGAATCAGACGCGATCCTGGCCCGCCGCGTGCCATCCGGTGATCACCCGTCCACGCACCGATCAATCGCACGTGGTGAATGGCGGCGGGGCGGGCGCCAGCGGATCGGGCCCTGTCCCGCGGCCGGTGTCGCACGAGCCGCGGTAATGACCGATAACCACCGGTCAGCGACCGCCGGTGTCGTTTGTCATCGCCCCAATGGCCTGACAACGGAGTATACTGGCCGTGGCCATCTCCTGACGACGGATCGGCGAGGCCAAGAAAGCAAGGACGACAATGATGCTGGTGGTCAGGGCTGTATGTGCGGTGTTCAATATCAATTTGTGTCCACGTTATGGTTATTATGCCGCTTCTTGCTACTGAATGGTCGCTTCGAAGCCAACAGCGCTGTCATTCTTCCGAGAGTATCGATAACAGCACAAAAACCGGCGTTGACGCTGCAGGCAAGACATAATACGCCACATACCGATACCAATGTGTCCACTTTATGGTTATCAAGCCGCTCCTTGCTAAATGTGTCCACTTTATGGTTATCAAGCCGCTCCTTGCTACTGAATGGTGGCTTCCTAGCCAGCAGCGATACATTTATTCCGAAAGTATAGACAACACGAAAATCGGTGCTGACGTTAAAGACAAAAAATAATACGTCAAATACAATATTTATCTCCGTATTTCATATTGCGACAATACATTAACTTTTATCGGTACAATGCGTTGCAAGCACTAAGCACTACGCCAAATAAAAGCGTTTCCCCAATCCCCATAGCGTAGAAATGCGATGGTTCTAGCGTTTATTATGATGTGCTTCGGAAGATCGACGGCTGGTTGCGCAGCTCGTCTCATTAGAAATAGTGTGATTCGTGGATATCGTAGATCGTGACCAAAATCCTCGAGAGCAAGGGACTTATCAGAATTTACGCGCATGTTGTACAACTGTACATCCAATCAGATCTCACTGGCGTGAGGTCTTCGAGTATACCGACAGCAAAATATTGAAATGGACAGCGGTAACAGCATTAAACTACACGAACTTCCTAGCTTGGGTATGGGAATAATCCATGCGAGACCGTGGGCGATGGGTGGCCCGGGACAGCGAAACCTTACATTTGTTGTTCCGGGATGGCACCGGTACGAGGGCCCTCAACAGGATGCATTACATTTATCTATCTATGGCCTTAAGTAGCACTGGGCGGTCGGGCTCTATGGATCCAGGGCAGATGTTTTAATCTTGCTTATTTAAAAACCCGTCCATGAAGCCTTAGAAGGAAGTTAAGCCACTGTTCAGCACGGTGTAATTACAAATGATATTAATTTGACGCACTTCCAACGACCATAACTTGACTTTCAGTATGTGCCCCAGGACTATTTCGCGCCTCAATTCTATACCGAGGTCGCCACTTAAAACTACATAAATCGGACGCGCTTTCCCGTTACGCTGGTCTTATGTGCGCAAGCTCCATTTAAACGAATGGTCCTTGCAGCGTAGTGCCAAGTGCCACACTCACTCGACGTATCATCCGCCCAGTTCCACTCACGGTCGCTGCCGAAATACGAGACGGACTGCACAATCGTGACCAACCATTTCTAGAACACACAACCATTATGTGTTAAGCCCCCGCTACTACGCTACATTCCATTCTCGTCGCGCCGCCGCCGCCGCCGCCGCCGCCGCCGCCGCCGCCGTCCCCCCCCCCCCCCCCCCTCCCTTGCTGACCGGCCTCTAGCATGGGATATTCACCACGCGCCTTCAGCCACAAAGAATCCAATATAGCCCGAGAGGACTCGATCACGAAGAAGTGCCGAGAGAAACTAGATGTGTAGAGTTGGTGTGTGACGCGTCTGCTTCATAGTGTTTAGTGACGCCCAGTGCGAAACGGTGCTTTGAGGCCAAATATCCCCCAATTACCCTGAAACTTCCTCGGAAGGACATCGCCAAGGGACAGCCAACTCACGAAAACCAACAGGGACATGCTCCATCCCTAGGTGTCCATCTTTCCGGCAGAGACTCACTTGTCGTCGCGTACGTCTGGCAGGCTCCGGTGCGGCGAGATCATGTCGCTGACGTACTGGTTGAAGGCGTTGTCGGCCCAGCCGCGGTCCACGCGCTTCTGCTGCTCGGCCGTCAGGTTCTTCGGCAGCGTCACCGGCTTGCCCAGCTCGCCCGGGCCGTCCGGCTCGTGCGGCGGCAGCAGGAAGCCGCGCTCCTGCGCCGGAGCGCCGGCCTCGACCTCCGGGGCGGCGTCACCGCCCGCGGCGGCAGCGGCGGCGGCCGCGGCATCCGGCGGCGCTACGGCCGCCTCCGGCCGGCTGCGGATGAGGCGCTGCGGCCTGCCCGGCGCGCCTAGCAGGCTCTCGATCTCCTCGCGAGCGCTGAGGACGGGCGGCGGGCCGTGCGGCGCCGCCGCGCCCTCGTCGCGCGGCACGTCCCGCCGCTCGGCCAGCAGGAACAGCAGCACGACCACCCAGACGACCGGCACGGCCACCAGCAGCTTGGTGAGCAGCGAACGTCGGCGGCAGACGGCCATTGTGCCGGCGGCGCCCGGGGCACGGCTCCGGACCGGGGCGGCAGGCGACCAGTCCGGCGGAGTCTCGAGAGGCTCGGACGCCGGCTCGGGTCCTCAGAGCGCTGAGAATGGCCCGCGGAGACTGCGGCAGGCGAGACTGCGGCCTCAGCTGATCTCGGCTAGCGGGGCAAGGTGAGCTCGACAGGACGCCAGTGGTCTGAAACGAGACACAGCGGGCGGTGAGGTCGCCGCGAATCACCTTTAAATATCCCAACGCTGAGCTGTGTCGGGGGGATGGCCGTGTCAAGATTTATTCAAAATTATGAGAGAATGTGGGGAAACATTCTCACAAAGGGTACACAAGGCGCGTCCAGTCGTATCCGAGTGCTGCGAAACGATACCACAAGGGCGATCATTCCACGCTTATGCCTAACACTGGCTGCATTCCCGTCCTCCAGGTTATCATTGGTAAAACCTGTACTGTGCATGCAATACGCTCGGCCAGAGCATGCGCTGTGCGATCCGCTCCACAGGGGACTCCCCGCCACTCCGGGGCTGTGTCCCCGGCACGGCTGGTTGCTGACGTGCAGCAGCGACGTGCCACACCTAGGGAACAGCTGTACATGAACCAATTACCGCCGCTGGGATGAGCACCTCATTTGACCAAGCCAAGGACGCTGGTGATCAGGGTGCGCGTTGAATATGTGTGTAAAGGGCTCAAAGCAGCATAGACCGTGACTTTCGCGTAGCGTAATACGATGCGAGTGTTCTTTGATGCGATGACGCGTATTATCTGGATATCGTTCCATAAAGGCGTAGTAATACCATACGATGGCAGTAATCTACCCGGTCTTATTGACATCATGACCAGTTGCTCCCCAACGCTGGAACTGCGCGCAAAATAACCGTGACGTTATTACCGCATTCTCCCACCAGGTCGTCAAATTAGTATCACCATAAAGAGTATGGTAGTGGCCTGTGACGAATGAGCATGGCAAACCCCACCAGCAATCACACAGGCGACCCAGGCGACAACAAACTGCCCATTATATCACACCGAGGTCGCAGCCCTTCCCCACCCGCATCCCTGTACTCAAGCCAGAACACCCTCGTTGACTGACTGCATGCGCTCAAGTTACCGGCCATCTTCCCCTCCCCCTCCCCCCCCCCCCGTGATTGCGGCGTCGCAGAACGTAGCCTCTTCTGTAGCGTATTCGGCCGCGCCGCCCCGGGTCAGCCGCGCCGCCCCGGGTCAGCCGCGGCGGCCCGGGTCTGCCGCGGCGGCCGCTCCGTCGTGCACAGCCCGAGCACGGCCTGCGCCGGCGGCGGCAGCGGCCGCGGCCGTCTGCACTGGACCGGCGACCGGCGACCGGCGACCGGCGCCCGCCGGGGTTGATGAACCGGCCTCCGGCGCCGCCGCATCTGGAGAGCTCAGCAGCGGCGGCGGCGGCGGTGGCGGCTGCCGGACCGTGCAGAGAGGCGGGGCGCCGGTCTGTGGAGCGGCCGCCCCGGCCGGTGCTGCTGGAGACGCACCTGACGGTCGCTGCCACGGCCGGGGTGCGGTGGGCGGTGGTGGGACGGAGAACTATGGTGGGACGGCCATACTGACTGCTGGGTTTGGTCGTCGGGCGCGACAGTCTCACCGGCGTCCCGGCTGCCACAGATGGGGGGGGGGGGGGGGGGGCGCGGCCGCACGGATCGCCAGACCGCCACAGATGGGGGGGGGGGGCGCGGTCGCACGGATCGCCAGGCCGCCACTAGATGGGGGGGGGGGGGGGCGCGGTCGCACGGATCGCCAGGCCGCCACAGCGGGACACGGCACAAACCCTCACCGGGTTTGACAACACATCCACAGTCGAACGCATTCAACATGGAGACAGTTCCATTGATAAAGCGGCCAAACGTCATTGAAGACACAGCCTCGGCTCAGCAGGGCAGTCGTGAGCACAGTCAGCCTCGCATTGCCGCCAGTCGTACGGAAATTACGGCCCCGTGACCACAAACCGTAGGCGCAAATCCACTCTTTTTGACTATTCATTAAAAACTTATCATCTAAGGCCATCAAAGTACTCACGATGAAGGCCTGCGAACTGTATAAATATTGAAAAATCGACAGTGAAAACGCCAGCGCGACAGGGGGTATCTGTCACGCGATGACGCTGGTGCGCGATATGTAACGGTTGCAGCGGAAATATGTAACGGTTGCAGCGGAAATTGGGCGTGATTCGTCGCGTCCCACACGCGTCGCGCCCTTGAAACCCGGATTCCAGCGGAGGGGTAAAGATCCGTCATTGCAATATATCCTCGTCGTGGATCTCATTTGGAGCTCGTAGATGCCATCGAGTTCAGACACCGCACGCATGAAGCGGGCGAAACAGGAACGTTGCGCAGCCCCAAGTGTACGCAGCCCCAAGTGTATGCAGCCCTAAGTGTACGTGGCCCCCGGCGGATTTCCTACCCGACGCATAAATCGAACATCGCTGAAACCTTGTTAGGCATGTGAGCAGCTGTTAGAACCGTCGATGTCAGTTTCAGCTTTTCCGTATCGGCAAAGCATTGTCATTAGCATGCCCGCACGTATCCGTCGAAGTTTCAGCATGGGATGTTTGCTTCGCGCGCATTCAGCCGCGAACGTCTCGAAACGTTCAGCTGTCATCCGCCCACGGCGGGCGAGGAGCTTCCGGGGCTACGCTAACCCGCTTGGCACTAATTAGTTGTCCAACAACCCAAACGCCGTCCGACGGCCTGGCCTGTCCAGGGAGACTACCAATGTTCACGACCAGGGACGGAAGCCGATGGACTTGGAGGGACGGCTACTGAGCCGTGGCCCCAGCCAAAGTCCTTCTCACGGTTCGCACCGCGCGCGCGGGACGGCGTCAGGCTGACACCTGGAGTGGGCCAGGGATGCTCTTTGTTTCAATGAAACATTACACAAAGCGTTTTAATCTTTCTTTTTTTTAATTTCTACGTTTGTGTGCCAAACATGTTTAATAATAAGACGGGGCAAGGCTACGACAATTGTTTTTAACCTTGTCATAAACGAACCCACAGGCCTAGCTACACATTCGTCTTGATCGCATCTTATGACATGTCATCCTCCGGGCACCGCATTTAGCATTTCTGCCAGGGCCGAGGCCATAAAAAACACGACACCGTTTCGAATAAAAAGTTCCCGCGCCTCCATCAAACCTTTTCCGCGGCGCACTGCTCTGACACAGCAGCCGCATCGCCATCTGCTCTCGCTCACCCCGCAATCCATCAGCGGACTGCCGGCACAGGGCGCCTCGCTCTCCGGAGAGTCGCCGGCAGACAGTCGACCGACAAAGGCAGGGCCGCCGGCTGACCGCCGCCTGTCCCCGCCAGCGGCCATTTATCACAGCCCCCGCCCCCATCGATTTCGTCGATTGTTTGCGTGACCGTGCCCATACAAATCTGGCCGCGCCGCCGACGCCGCTACCTGTCGTCGCGACTGATGGGGCGCCGCGTGGCGGCGTGGCTCGATACCCGTCCAGTGCCAGGTACGGCACACCGCCGCGCGCTGACATCACGTGCCGCTCCCCCACGGCGCTGTCCCCGAAGCGGGGCGTGAGCGGGCACGGCCGCGCCGGGCGGTGAATACGCCCGCGCGGAGTACCGATCCCGTGGGAACACGCGGCCGGGGCGACCGGCCGCTTCCGGTCACGTGTCACGTACGCCAGGAGGGGGACGGGAAGGAACCACGGGCGCCGGGCACACAGTGGCCGGCCGTCTGTGAGGCGCGCCACCGGCCTCTCGAGGTCGACAGTCCTACGCATGGCAGTGATGACGCCGATCGCTCCCCTGCCGCTGACGGGCCGGTGGGCGGTCAGCCACGACTTGAGCAGCACGCCCGGGGTGATTTGTCCGGCAAGGACACGCGGAAGGACGAGATCTGGCGCCGTGGGATCCACCATCAGCCCGCTTCACTGGCGTGTTGTTAAGTTAACAGCCAAGTGTGGTCGACATTCTGAGTCGATGAATAGTTTGATCAGTCCCCGGACGCCCGAGCGCTGTTACGGGCCACGACGTCATGCAACGGATCAAAAACAAGCACGAAATGTGGTGGAACCACCTCCCGACCGCACCGCAAACTGCATAGGGCTGAAGGCCGCACGATCCACCGAGAAACTGCATTGCACGGATAGCAGAGCGCCTGCAGTTGGTCGGGCCCCCTTCCCTCGCATTCCCGCTCGCCCGCTCTGAGCTGGGCCGGTCAATGGCGGCTGCAGTTGTTTGGTGAGGGGAGGGGGAGGGGGGGGGGGATAGATCGGATATAACTCTGCCTCGGACAGTGGCGGATGGCAGTGGCCAGGGCCCGTGTTCGTCCTTCCATCGCTCATGACCAGCCGTCCGTTTAACCGACTGCTCGCTGGTCCAGCCGTTTAAGATTGTCTTGCTGACGGTGTCCCATTCCACCAGCAGAATCGATCTCATCAGATCTAAGCCCGCGGTATGCCTGCCCGTTAAGCAACGCAAGATTAATTTGTCATGCGCCAGGGTCCCTGATAAATCGCTGTTGCTAATACCTCAAATGAAATTGATTCCTGCCACGTCTCGTTTCCTGTCGGTCTCCGGCCGCATTGTACGCAGAAACGTTTTGTATGTCACAGGGGATATCAGCAAGACACACA